ACACCAACTTTTAAGAGCATTCCATTGGCAGAAGATGGGAGGACATAAGGAATTACGGTAGAACGAAACACTTGAAATGCATGCATATGTTTTTAAAAGAAAAAGTATAGATAATGCTTTTTTCAAAAACAAAACAAAACAACCAAACTCTCAGTTGGAGAATGCTAAGAAATGAATTCATTATTCCAAGAGCTAGTAAATGAAGGGCAGGAGCCAAGCAGTCATCTTGCCTGACCTGAGTAAGCTGTTATCAGTGTAACCACAGAGCTGATAGAGGGAAGTTTTTATTTATAAGAGATTTCCAGATAACGTATGCAAAGGGAAATGCTATAAGTAGAATGTCACCCTTTTGCAACCACTAATGAAGTAATGGGGCTAGGCAATGATCATCAATTTCTGTTGAAATCATTAGGTGAGAGGGAACCTTATAATAACAGGTCACACTGAATCTGCGATGACTCTTAAACCACAGAAAGAAAGACAGACACCTTTGCCTCCTGCTGTGCTGCAGAAAGAGGCTCACTGCGGCATTAATGAACTTAAATCTGATCAGGACTCTAGATACCCGGTCAGGTGTAATCAAGTATTCTCGATTATCGGAGGTAAGTAGGGTCAAGGAGCGTGTGCAATGGCCCATGGGATCTAATGAGCTAAACCAGAATGTGAAAAATTCTGTGGAGGAAATGGCCCAAGAAGAAGGTGGGGCAAGGTAATTCTGCAGATTAAAAAACCCTAAGAAACATTGCTGATGCAATGTGTAGAGCTCTTTTGAATCAAACTTTGAAAAAGCACTTGAGAACACTGAAGGAATTTTAACACTGAATGATATTTGACGTTAAGGAATTGTTAGTATTTTGGAAATGCTATAACAACAGCAACAAAAAGGAGTTATCTCTGTTAACTAAAAAAGTGTAGGCTGGGTATGCTGGTGCATACCTGTAATCCCAGCTACTCAGGAGGTGGAGATTGGGAGGAACATGGTTCAAAGCCAGCCTGAGCAAAAAGTTAGCAAAACTTTATCTTAGCAAACAAGGCTGGCATGGTGGAGCATGGTCCCAGCCATGCAGGAGGCATAGGTTGGAGGATCTTGGTCCAAGGCTGGCCCTGAAAAAAAGTCCTAAAAAATAACTGAGCAAAAAAAGGGTTGCTGATGTGATTTAAGTGATAGAGGACCTGCCTAGCAAGTGTGAGGCCCTGAGTTCAAACCCCAGTATCGCCAAAAAAAAAAAAAGTTTCCAGTCCTTTTGTCTGTTTGAGTCTAATTCAGTGCTCAATGAAGTTTCATTGTAGAGGATAATATAGTAATTACTTTCGACTTTTCAAGGGGTCTCTTGCAACTATCCAGCTCTTGGCAGAAATAAAAGAAGCTGTAGACAATATGGAAATGAATGAACATGACAGTGTGCCATAACATTTTATTTACAGTATCAGGAGACAGGCCATAGAGGACGACCCCTGGTCTAATTCACTGGGTTTGAGGAAAGGCCTGGGAATATACACTTATAATAAGCATGCCAGGCACATATGATCAGATAAACAACCCTGAGAGGTAATTATAGTTATTGGACCCATTCTCAGATAAGAAAATTGAAACTCAGAGTGGGCAAATAAATGGCCCAAGAGTCTGCAGCTTGAAAGATGCAGAGCTGTGTTTGTAAAGGAAAATCTCAGCTATCAGGAAAATGCTCACTACCCAGGAACCAGAGGCTATGAGAGCATGGGGGAGAGAACAGGAAGCTTTGCTGTGCATGGTACACCTATCTCAGCTGTCTCCTTTAGAACAAAGGAGAGGACACATGGAGGAAGGGAGACGAGAAACACGTACAGAGCACTTGGAAAATCAACGGAGTCTTCTAGAGCATAGGGTCAATCTCTTCACATGGATCTGAAACCTTGGGTTGTCAGATTCAGCCAATAAAACTACAGGATGCCTTGTTAAATTTCAACTTCAAACAACAAATATTTCTGGTATAAATATGTCCCAAATATTTATACTAAAAATATGGTTTTTTTAAAATAAAATCCATTTAACTGGACATCCTGTATTTTATCTGGCAGACTAACCAAAGTGGGAAGAAGATTAGTGAAAGCATTGAGCAAAATATTGGTGGACAAGGGGTCAAGGGTACACTGCCATCAGGGGACAATAAGTATCACAAGGAAGCTGCTCAGACAGAAGGTCCAGGGGTCTTAGACACTGGCTGTCCTGGTCTGGCCAGCTTTTGGAACAGTTACTTGACCTTCTCTTGTAACTTCCTGGCTTGAAGCTGACCTTGAGATGGATATCTGAAGCCTGAGTTTATCAGGTATCTCTGGTGTTTTTATGTGGAAATCTGGAATCATTCAGAGTCCATCTGACTTCTCTGTATAAAGTGAATTTCTAACCATTTGCCTGGGCTGGCTTTGAACTGTGATCCTCCTGACCTATGCATCCTGAGTAGCTGGGATTACAGGTGTGAGCCTAGCTCTCCACTTGTATAAAGTGAATTTTAGGAAGCTAGCAACAGCCTTGTTCTTGAACTCCACTGCATCAGAAGAGATAGTTTTTCTGGGAAACAGATTGAAACATGAAAATAGGGTTACATTAATGAATTAACATATTTAGCAATTCAAATGAGGAAAGACCCCAATGAATCCTGGGTAGGTCCAGTAACAATGGCAAAATGAAGGGCACGTGTCAGAATCTTATGACCCCCCCACCAATGCGTCCAAATCGACATCTGACCAACTCAGTCATCTCCATTCTCTGACACTAGCAAAGTCTCTTGTGAGCAAAAGTCCCTCCTAGTTTTCACAATTTTTGTCCTCATTTGTGAGTGTGTGTGAGGGGCAGAGGAAAGCAATGCTTAGGGAGAGGAAGGTATCAAGGTAGGCATGGGCTTCTTCCCGTGTTATTCTGTTGCTGGCATCATTCCTTGGGATCTTTCCTAGGCCTTATTGCTTTATGTCTCCTGTTTGAAAGCTTAGCCTTCAGATCCTTAAGTATCACTGAAAACTTGGATCTCTAGCTAATATTTCTTTATGCAATCTGCGGGAAACACACCTTATCTTCGTCTCTGAAGTGGACATAATGGAGGTGTCTGTTGCACAAGGGTGGAGAGAGGGTGAAGTAAGGGGTGTGTGTACCGTCATTGTTAGTGAATTATTGTTGTTCTTATCATTAAGACAATCATTGCTAGCTAGCTTGTGTCTGGGTAGGTTTTACCACAGAGATATTTGTCAGTAATTTTTACTAGGCAATACTTTACTACATTTCCAGAGTGAGGGTTTTTTTTAGTATAGGAGAATGATGGCAGTCACCTTGGAGGGAAACCAGTGTGGATTTTTACGTGAAATAAGGGCAGTGTAAGAAATTAGGCTTGTTATATTCCCTAGTAGCATATAGACATGTGCCGTGAATACTTGTACGTCGGGTGCAGATCATCATATTTAATGATACTCAGTTGGTTTTTGAGTCCACAATTCCATCGTAGGTAGAATTGTTGTCTACCTCCTATTTTGAAGATCAGGGAGTTAAAATTTGAAGGGGTTAAGTGCTTGTCAAAAGTCACATCAAAATTCTGGGCTTTTTGATTGCCAATTTTTGATATTTTTGTCATGCCTCAGACCTCGGTCCTGGAGGAATGCGGTATCAAATTCCCCCACACTGGTGCTGCCAGTGAGAAATCTTGATAAGATTGATCTCAGTGGGCCCCTGTGACCAGTTATGCCTTTCTGATGTCTGTCTGCCAGAACACTTAAGCTCATCAGAGTTTACATGCAGCACACTTGAATTTCTCCTTTTGTAATACATATGTAGGGTTTTACAGAAAAGTCATCAACTGAAACGCAGATCAGGACTCCATTATTTAAAATTATTCATCAAGAGTGATGTTCCTATATTCCTGACTTCTATTTTTATTAGTCAAGAAACCAGGTATAATAAACCATTCTACCACATTCTATCACAAATATAATATTGTAAGACCCTATCTTTTCAGATAGACCTTAAATTAGACCTGCTGGCTTCTGTTCTTTCATGTTTATTTTTTTCTTTTATGTTTAAAAGTTTTCAATTGTGAGTCACATGATCACCACACAATTTCACACAGTATACATATGGTAAAAATTGGAATTTACTCTCTGGTAACTAATACCTCACTTCCATGGTTTCCTGGCTTTCTAGAACCTTGTCTGTTCATTTGCACAGTTACACAGAGTCACTATGTATTTGCTTATTTATACACATACCCTTTCTTACATGAATGAAAATGCTAGAATGTATTTTTCAATGACTTGCTTTTTCACTGACCATATACTGGACGTATTTACCTATTAGTACACATAGCACTACCACTTTTTAAAAAACTACTTTCATTTTTTAGCCATTGCATATACCTTTAGTGATGAACACATTTTTTTGCCCTTAGAAAAAAATGAAATAAAGGTTTTCAACCAAGTATTTTTGCTTACATGAGAAATTATTTTTCTAAGGCTCCCAACAAGTGAAATCCTGGGTTCAAAGACACTTGCATCTTTGGTGTGGACAGATTCTACAGAGAATCTTCCTTCAGAAAAGCCATCAAAATGTCACCAATGGCACTGGAAAATAAATCCTCATATCCTCTCAAGCATCAGAGAGCACCCATCTTTTTCAGTTTTTCTCAAATATATCTATATTGTTTTATTTGGCATCTCTTCATGTGCTTGTGGCCATGTGTAGCTATTTTGTGTATCATTTGCTTTTATCCTTTATCCATCTCTCTGTTGGGTTGCTTTTTCTAACTAATTTGTCTGCTACGTATATATTGCAGATATTTCTGTCATTTGTCTTTTAACTATGATTATTTTGTCTTTTGTCATGCAAAAGCATTTAAGTTTTGCAAGTTATATCTGTAAATTTTATCTGTTGTGGCTTCTTGAACATACGTCATGTAGGATGGCCTTCCCCTCCTGAGGTTATGCAAATACTTTTGTAAGTTTTCTTCTAATATTTTTATTGTTTTGTTTTTTATGTTTAGCTCTTTAATCCATCTGGAAATGATTTTTGTATATGGTGTGAGGTAGGTATCTTAAGTGTATTTTTTAATGAATAGTTCATTGTTCCAACACTTTAATTACTAACCCACCATTTCATAATATTAAATTCCAATATTGACACAAGACTGTGCCTTCAGACTCTCCAGTTTTGTTACATTAATAAATTTGCCTGTCCCTTTGCAAAATGCAGTGTGTTCATTATGTAGTTTGGTAAAATGTTTTGCTTCCTGTAGGCACCATCATTGTTCTACTTCAACTAGTTTATCGTCTACTGCTGTGGATGAATTCTGGATTCATCTTGTCAACTTCCATACGCCATCCCACTGGGTTTGCATTTAGATGGTATTGACCTTTTATACTAAATTGAGAGAGGAATGAAAGATTTGTGGTATTAAGTCTTCTCATCCAAGAAAGTTATCAAACTTCCCACTTGTTTAGGTCTTCTATGGTTTTCAAAATTTTTTATTTACATAGACCTGTACCTTTGGTGCTGAGTTTATGTATGAGTTTCATGCATTTGTGTTGCTATTGTATACACAATTGTACTTTCTATCATGTTTTAAAATCATACAGCTGGTATTATGAGAATAGTTTGACATGTGCTTTTGTTGTATGATAGTTTTAACTGCTTTTTTAGTTAGTTGTCACAAATAGTCATATCATACCCAGACAACAAGCAATTTTGAATTTCTCAAAATTTCTATTCATAGCCTATTTTTAATTCTTCCTTTATTGCATTGGCTAGGACCTCCTGGATAGTGTTCCATAAAATCAGAGACGATACCTTGTATGCTTGTCATGCTTTATCAGTTAGTATGATTTTTAGTTTGTTGAATAAAGGAAGTTACCTTTGGTTATTAATAGATTAGGACTTTTAATCAGAAAGGGGTTTTGAGAAATTTGGGCATCTTTGAAAGAATAGTTTCCTTTTTACCTTTTAATAGTAAATGGAACAATAGATTTCATAAATAGAGGCATTTTTTTGCATTTCTATTATCAATCTTATTGAATTACAACATGATATTTTTGTGACATACTGCTATTTGGTATATGTTATTCAGACTTAGAGATTATATTCATAGCAGAAATGGTTTTATACACATATAGCTTAAAATTTCTTTATCAGTATTTATATATTTAAAATAGTAAGTTAAGTTTGACTGAATTTGGTTGAATTTGTTGTCAGAGACCTTAAAGCTACAATGAGTGGTTTGAGAAGTTTCTATTTTCTTTTTGCCTTGGAAAAAAAATAAATAAGATGGAAAACTTTACTAGAATTAACCCATAAAGTGATTTATATTTTTTGTATTTTTCTTTTTTTGTGGACCTTGTTTTTTTTAATGTACAGATTTTTACTATAATTTTAGCTGTTTTGTGTTCAAGTTTTCTACTTTTCTCAGATTTTCATTAAAACTTTCTAGTAAGTCAATCATTGTATCTTTATTTTCAATTATTATTGTCTTATCTTTAGCATTTTACATTTGTTTTCTCTGTATCCCTTATTAACCTTGTCAAAGGGTTATAAAATTTTTAAAAGAATAGCAATTGTTTATGCAGGTTTAGTCTTTTTGTCCCTTTTCTTGTTTTGTTTTGTTTTATACTGGTCAATCAGCACTCATCACAATTATTAATTTCTTCTTTCTTTTGTTTGTTTTTATTAATTTTCTTGAAAGCATATTTAGTTTAGTTGTATTTTTAAAATAATGCTATTTTTTCCTAAAAATTACTTTAGCTATATTCCATAGGTTTCAATGAACAGGACATTGTAACAAATAGTCTTAGTTTTTATTTTCATTTTTTTCCTTACCAAATATTTTTATTTTGCCTGAAGAAACCTTTTCAATGATTACTCTTTTGTTAATTTCTGCTTTACTTTCGTTGATAGAGAAAATGCTTTTCATTTTTATCTTATATTTATTTTCTCTCTTGGAAAGTCAAATTTCCTTTTACATTTAATATGTGATTACCTTTCACAATTTTTTAGGTACTTGAAAATTATTATTTTTTTTCTTTGATTTTGAGACAGGGTCTTGCTCTGTATCCCAGGCTAGCCTAGAACTTGTGATCCTGCTGCCTCTGCCTCCCATGTGCTAGAATTACAGACATGGACCACCATAGCAGCCCTAAATAAAAGGTCATGATATTGTAATTGTGACATTTTCCATCTTTTTTTTTTTGGTGGTGCTGGGGTTTGAACACAGGTCCTTATGCTTGCTAGACAGGAGCTCTACCACTTGAACCACTCTGCCTGCCCCATTTTCCATTTTTAAAAATGATATAAAGTATTTTGTTTCCATGTAATTGTTGACATTCTAAATTCCTCTTTCAAATACACATGTGAAACAATATAAAATGTATAATAACAATCAATAAAGGAAATTTGGCCACATATATCTGTATATTGATATATACATTTATATGTATATGTACCTATTATATATATACATATATGCCCAATTATAGTTTTTTATTGCTTTCATTTTTATATCCTTTTATTTTCAATATTTTCTGCACTTTTGCTTTATATAGGACTTTTCTAAATAGCATGAATCTTGATTTTTTAAAAAAATTTTTGAGGTACTCTACCCCTTGAACCACTCTGCCAGCCAGAATCTTGATTTTTTTAACCTAAGTCTTTCTCTCACTTAAAAGGCATTATAACCTATTTGTATCCATTGTCTACAGTGGTTTCTTAAATTTATATTTATTCTGTGCTTTCTGCTGTAACTATTGCTATTTCCTTTTTCTGTGTTTTGTTTTTTTTTTTTTGTATTGGTTAAAGATGTCAGGCTTTATTTTCCTAAAACTGATTAGGAAGCTATATGTACTAATTCTAATATTCTCAAAGCTACTTTAAAATTTTAGCAAGTGTATTTATATTTAAACTGCAATAATCAATAATTGATCAGTATCTGTAAGCTCCTTTCCCTCCTTTCTAAATGATTTAAATGTTTATCAGGCCTTTAATTACTTCTGTATCTACTCTCCTCTGCACTTATGGTTGAAATTATCTGGAAATTTCATTCCAGATAAATAGGTTAGTAATACAGAGGCAGTGCTATTATTGGTGTTATTATTTACTTTATGTGTTTGTAGGAAGCTCTTATTAGTATTGTATTACCTTTTACTACCAAATTAGGAACAATTATTTAGATTTAAATTGCATTTTGTGGCTTATTTGTTCTGTGTTGTTTGTAATGTTCTAAATCATTGTATATCTTGTATTCTTTTTTCTGTTTTCCTAGCATATGACCTCAGATAATTTCTGTTTTTTTTTTTTTATGAAAGGCTGTGTGTAGTGACATTTCTGAATCTTTGCTTGTCTAAAAGCAGTATCTTTAGTTGTCTTTACACTTGATGCACAACTACACTGATTTTAAAATCCCAGGTTGAAAATAACGTTTCTACAAATCTATATTATCAATTATTTTCGAAGACACTTCAGATAGATATCTCAAATGACTTCCATTTTTAGAAACAGGATTTTTGTCCATTCCCTATTCTTTCTGAAGTGTTCATTATTACTATTCTTCCAACTGGTCTACCACAGACAGGAGGATTTCATGTTAATAGTTTATAAGTACATGGATAGAGAACTTTTTGTCAATGGTGAGCACTTTTGCATCAATAATTCCATGTGTTAACCAAAAGTTCCAATTTCTGAAACTCTACTTATATCGATGCAATTAGTTCCTGAGTTTTAAAACATGCTGTGAATTTTCTTCCACTTATGCTAATTCCTCTCACCTGCTGGGCAGTGAGGATTTCTGTAGTGGTTTTCTCAGGAAAGGATACCCTAAGTGTCTGCTCTTGTCAGTCACTTTCTCTTGCCCTTGGCTTTCAGATCAGCAAACCCACAAATGGGTCATGTCTTCCTTAGGCTATGTTAAAATACTGTCTCCTTACTAACCTTTGGGGTGTTACTAAGAACTCTAGGGAATTCTCTTTCAGTCCACCTGACACCTAATTAGCATATGGTAGAACTTCCCTCTCCCCTTCCTTTCAAATACTGAGTCCAAAATTGTAGTGAGAAATTCAGGATTGTCAGATGGAGAGCTAAATTTCACAGTTCTATATACTAGACACCAGTGGAGTGGACTATGCCTTCCTCACCTTGACCAAGGAGTCTCACTAGATGTCTGTGAAGACTCTGATACCTGGTGGCTTGCTCAGTGACAATGCTGTCATTCCATTGGGCTTTCCCTTAGGAAGGACAACTTTTAGGACTTTACTGTAGCAGAGTCTGAAACCTTCTCTGTCACTTCAGATCCACTTGTGATCCTTCCTCACACTCAGTGTTCAGGAACCTCAGTCCCCTCAGGTGTTATCTCTAAATGCTACTGTAGCTGCTTCCAGGGTCCTAGTCAAGCTATCAAGAGTCCTCACTCACCCTCTGACACAAGTTGCATAAAGTCGTGGCCATGTTAGCACCCGATGCATGGAGTGCACTCATGTATGAAGAGCACAGACAGAGGTAACGCATTCTGGCCACTGGATCACTCTGTGGGCCTCTGTGTTGACCCCTTCTAGGTAGGAGGACAGACCATGCTTCCCATCCGCTGGATGCCCCCTGAAAGCATCATGTACCGGAAGTTCACTACGGAGAGTGATGTGTGGAGCTTCGGGGTGATCCTTTGGGAGATCTTCACCTATGGGAAGCAGCCATGGTTCCAGCTCTCAAATACAGAGGTAAAGAAAATGGGGAGGGAACATTGGAATCTTGACGTTAGGGAAAGACTGATACGAGACATCTAGGGGCAGGAATTGGGTGTAGTGCCCATCAGGTAGGCAAGCAGAGTGAATGTAGGCACATGCAGTGGGAGAAAGCTTCATAGTGGGGAAAAAAACCTGTAACTGTAGGAAATGTGATATAATTATCAGAAGAGCATGAAATCAGATGTCTAAATTGAGACACAAGTCACAGTTCTGTTTATTCTGCTACACTTAAAAAAGTGACAAATGTTTCATGAAGACAAAAATTAAAACAAAGAACAACTATGAGTATTTCAATTGTGCCATCTTGTGGGAACACCTGCTCTTAGTATGTCCAAATAATTTGGGCCCCCAAAGGTCTTAGTCATGGTAGGTCTTGGGATATTCAGGATGGTGAATGAAGAATGTTAATTTCCTATCATTGATAGGGCTATATGTAGACTTCTAGGAATGAAATAAGTAATAAGAATATATATAATGATAGCCACATGTATTTATAATATTACTTTACAGTAACAATTTAAAATACTAGTCATTTAAGTTCAATAATAGCTAACATTTAGCACCATGCACTTTCCTAAGTACTTTAGCTCTAGTAACTCAGTAATTGCCACAAAACACCTGTTAAGACTCAGGATCAGGACAAAGGAAGGGTAACTATTTGGGATCCTCAGAGTAGACTGGCTAGGGTCTCAGAGGTGAAAGCCACCTGGAGTGGTTAGTCCTAGGACTCTTCTGCCTATCAAGATATTCCAAAGCCCATGAAGACATTTCTCAGTTCTGTGTAGATCAAGGGACTGCTGTGTGGTTCTCAGACAGTAAGGGGCTTGGCCTCCCATACCACAGAAGCTACAGAAAATTGCACTTTTCTTATCTTCTGTTTTCTGAGAAACCGTAAATACTGGTACCATTTTCTATTGAAATCTTATTTTAGTAGTCAAGAAAATGTCTTTCTCTTGGAAGCTATGTTCATCTCTGATCTCCTATGTCCTGAGTACTTAATAAGTAAGTTTCAGAGACTGAAAAGTAGGCTTTTTTTTTCAGTACTGGGGACTGGGAGTTGAACTCATGGCCTCATTCTTGATAGGCAGGTGCTGTACCCTACAAGCCACCAAAGCATTTCATTAAATCTGTAATATCTTACCGTTCACAAGCTCAATGAGGCCTGACCACATTTCCCAAAGAAGGACAAAACATTTTTTTACAACTTTTTAAAATAAAGAAAGAACCCATTTGTTATGGTATTTTAAAAAATTGTTAGTTTTCCCAGGCAATGGGACACACACACACACACATACACACACCACACACACAGAGGCATATGTACTTATGCATGTACCTGAACAAAGCCTCTATGTAGTTTGATAGGCCAAGAAAAGAAGATCCTCTGGACTGTGAGTATTTACTGATCTTAGATGAATGCTTGTCCTGGATACCTGAGCTGCCTCAGAGTAGCTAACAGGGTATTTGCCGTCTCATTTGAGACTGCCTGGTGGGTCCCTGACCTTGAAGGCAGGCTTCCCACCCCCAGCCATCTCCCCTACTCCACCCACTGAAGCACTAATAAGGAGTCTCCCTATGGGGTTTGACAACCTGGACATTCCCACATTAGAAGAGCATGACTGAGGGCTTTTGATCTTAGGTCAGCAGTTGCTATTACAGTTTGAACCGGATTCTTTTTCATGTATGTGAAGGCAATAGAGGAACAGAGGTGGAAATGGGGAACATAAGCAGTTGAGACCTACCAGGCTGGTGAAGCAACAAGCCTACTGGGTTGACACAGCAATGGCTCCACAGGCCACTCATGGTTAGGGTAATGTGATACAACACCCAGGGCAAGGCACTGTTAAGCAGCAAGAAAGAGAGAGAGAGAGAAAGAGAGAGAAAGACAGAGACAAGTTCTTTTGCCCAATTAAATACTGGTTAATCTAGGTAGAGAAGAGAAATACTTATACAGCTACTGAAGTAGACATTATTTTTATCATCACAAACCAATCTTTAAAATGGGAAACAAGTTCAAAGTAACTAACTTGCTTGAAGTTATACAGTGGTAAAATTAAAAGTTAAAACTAACCTGAAAATTAGAAGATAAAGTGTTGAAAATTTTCATATCAGTTTCAGTAGTGTCTGGGATGGGAGTGTAGCTTAGTGGTAGAACTTAACACATGTGAGACTCTGGGTTCAATCCCTAGCATTTAAAAAAATACTGTCTCTGAGGAACTGAAATGAACCTCAAACCACAGACTTGGTCCTAAAGTGGCCTTCTGGGGTTGATCCAGTCATGCATTGTGTTTTCCATACACCTATGACCACCCCTTCAATATATTGAGACATACAGTGCCTGTCTTGGTCTCATTTCTCTCCAAGGAAGGTGGTCAGGGCAAACACTTGATTCCCATCTTACAGGTGAGGCTGATAAGATCCCATGAGGTAAATGGACTTGCAATGGCCACCCAGTAGGTAGTGGCAGCCTCAGCAGTTAATCCTAGTATTAAAGATTTTTTAAAAAGTAAGATAGTCCAACGAGCAGGGGAGAATGGACCTCTCTGAGAAAGGGTGCTATGCTCAGAGGCAAGTGTGACCTATACAGAGGCTGTGACTGAGATGAGAGCTTGCCACGAAGTGGGAACTAAAGGGAAATAGACAGTCAGATGATGCACAGCAGCTTTAGGGGGTCTTCAGACATGAAGGCTAATGCTTGGGGAATGGACAGATTAGAAGCCAGTCTCTATCACCAAGTAAAAAAATGGATGCAAGTTAGTCAATCCAGGTGAGATTGAGGACTGCAGAAGACTGACGTAAAATGGAAGAATATACTGAGGAGTCAATGTCAATGTGGGCCTGGGGCAGCAGCCTGTGAGTTCACTGCCCCCATAACCTACGCACAGGCAGACAAGAGAGTCAGGGCTGCCTCCTGCCCAGCCTCCAGTCTGTGCTTGTGGCTACCTTGGCTCTACACTGAAGCTAATCAATGAAGTTGTTGCGTTTTTCTGGGCAGGAGCCTCAAAGCCAAGGCTGAGTTTTTGATGTAACTTCCTTGTTTTTTTCCCCACTCTTGCAGGTCATCGAATGTATTACCCAAGGTCGTGTCTTGGAGAGGCCCCGAGTCTGCCCCAAAGAAGTATATGATGTCATGCTGGGGTGCTGGCAGAGGGAACCACAGCAGCGACTGAACATTAAGGAGATCTACAAAATCCTCCATGCACTGGGGAAGGCCACCCCAATCTATCTGGACATTCTCGGCTAGTGGTGGCTGCTGTTTAAGAATTTATACTCCTCTCTCCCTGCCTCACTTCTTCCTTTACCACCTCACAACTCCTTTCTTTCATCTTTGACTGAAGCGAACATCTTCATATAAACTCAAGTGCCTGCTACACATACAACACTGAAGAAAAAAAAGAAAGAAAGAAAAAAAAACCTTGTAAGGCAGTTTGACACACACACACATATATATATTTATATATCTAGCTATCTATCTATATCTACAGAGAAATAGCTTCTCTATAAAGAGAGAAGCTGCTGATCCAGACAACCGTAAGACTGAAAGAACTCAGAAAATCTTAACTGTTACTATGAACGCAAATGAAATTCCCTTGAGGAAAGCTGTGGCCCACGCTTCTTCAGCTCTGGAGTTTCTGGGCAGAAGACCTTGACCTGGCAGACAGACAATCTTCGCTTTGGGACAGGAGGAGCCAGGGTGGTGCGCGCACACGGCTGCACAGGCGCATGCGCAGACCGCATCCACTGTGCTCAGGAAGGCAATGACACCGGCAGTTCAGGGCCCTTGGGAATGCCTCACATCTGTCCTGACGTTTGCCTCTACTCCTTTCCTCCTTTCTGGCACTTCGAGACAATTTTCTAATTTGTCCGTTCAACAAAGTATAGTATATGCTATTGGTAATCAATGATGGTACCTACGGGTAAACACTGGACAAACAGCAACACGAGATCATGGCAACAACAGACCCTTTCCCTTCTGGGTGAAAACCATACTCCAGCTCCTTACTAGATGGGAAAGGAGTGTGCTATTCTAGCCTCTGAATTTGAAGAACTGGACTTTCTGGACTTACAGAACCACAGAAGATAAAACAGCTGACACTTGAACCCTAACAAGGCACTGCCACCCACTCGTTCCATCATTGGAATGATTCCTTGGTCCCACCTTCCATTTTTCAGGCCCTTGGGAAATTTGGGGGCTAAGAAATAGGTTCTTGTTGTCAGCTGATGTATCACATCAGGCTTCAGGGTTCTAATTGCAAAAGACTTAGTTGCTTATTGGTCACTATTAGGTATGCCCCCTGGGTCCTCTCTGTTTCTCATCTTGGTCCCCAAGGTCCCAACCCCACCTCCTGGGCCTGGGTGAACCCCATTGCCAGGGAAGGAATCCAAGTTTAGTGAAAGCTTGGGTCAGTAGCTTGGGCAAAAGCCAGCAGGGAAGAATCTACTTGGCACCTGCTCCAGGCCCCTTGGCATTCTCCTCATATTTCCAGTCCATGGGAGGATTGATGCATCTGCCTTTGAGCTGTTGTGAAAAGGCAGAGACTGAGAAATGGCTTTTATGGTCTGGGGTTGGGGGGAGGGGCTGAAGCTTCTCTGGGAGATGTCCAATGAGTGGCCAGTGCCACAGACTTGGCATCTTAATGAGAACTGAGCTCTAACCAGGGAGTGAGAATGAAGCATCTGGACTGGGGCCAGCTCCCTCTGCCCCATCACCAGGGGAATCACTGCCTTCCCTGCTGTGCCAAGGACCAAAAAGGGCAAATCTCTAGTCCTCCCTTAGACATGAAAAGGAAATGTCTGTGGAAGCCAACAGCCTGACTGCACTGAGCCCTCCTGCTGGGGAAGACAGGATGTACCCTTCCAAGGGCACCTGGCCCTGCCACCCCACACCAAGCACAGAGCTACCTAATGGACTGAGTTTTTCTTAACTGAAGCCTCCTGGGAGCCTCTGACTTACCCCTTTCCCTGTCAGCTGAAGGGACTGTGTGCAGCCAGGATGTTCTGGGCAGCTGAAGGCAGCTGAAGTGTGGGCATCCCTGTGTGGGGTTTAGGACTGAATTATGTGATTGTGGTTTTGCTTCTTTTTAGACTCACAAACGTTTTTATTCAAATAGAAAAGAGCTGTGCTCAGATTGTAGCCATGGTTGGGATTCAGGGATCAACAAGTCTGCTCAGCTGGACTGGGAGAAGAGCCGGGTATAATGGAAATTCAGTATGGGTTTTCTCACTGTGCTGTATTCCTAGCCCCTGAAGACTTTTGGGGAAAGCTCTCAGATTGACTGTTTCAAGGACACCCTTTGTTACCTTGTGGCAATTACTTCTATTATTATTCCCCTGAGGCCCTTGGTCTGCACTTGGGCTGTGAATGCTTGGTGTGGAACTGCAGAGTCTGGTTTTGATCTGGGTAACTAAGGGAAAGGCATTCAGGGAGAGAATGACCTGGAGGGGGCTGAGGGAAATTGTCTTTGCTTAGAAGGGATGCCCAAGGCTCCTGTTGCTGCCCTTTTCTCATTTCCTCCCCCAAACAGACACTGGGTGGCTTTGATCTTCTTGGCTGTGTGTTTTTAAAACCTCTTAGTCACTGATGGGCTGAGAAGAAGGGGAGAAGTAGGTTGGAGGGTGGAGTACAATTGAAAATGAAGAATGTGCTAGGGTTTCAACTCAGGGCACCAAGTTATCATGGCCAAAGGAAAGAAGGCAATTCCTTAGAGAACAAGGAGAACTGAAGTGACTGAACCTGTTAACTTGCCCTCATCTTAGTCCCACAGGCCTGCATGTTGACACTGGGACCATGTCTTGCCATGTCTGCTATAAGCAGATATGTATGTAAGAGTACGCGAGAGAGGGTGGTGGAGTCAGGGCAAAGAGAGAGATCCTCCTTTCTTTCTACCCTTGCTGTCTTCACTCTGTACATGTTAATCTTTCCATGTTAACCTTGGCAGGTTAAGAAAAATGGAGCATAAAGGAGGCAGAGAATAGGGTTGTGGAAACTGAATGTGTATTCTAGTGTGGTGCAGTGCTGTCTTACTCCTCCTGTATTGGGACAGGGCTGGTAAGACTTGCTTCACTGTGTCTTTGTTTCCCCATCTGCAAAATAAGGGATCCTTGCTAAACTCTGGCCTCATTCTAGCTTTGAATTCTAAGATTCTAACGATGTTGAGTTGCTGTGTCACTCTGGAATGCCTGGATAGCCCTCCTTAAGTCTTGTGTACGTAGAAGGCAGCTGCCTCAGGATGTACCAAGCTTGAGCCGGGTTGATCCCAATAAGACAGTCTCTCCCCTTTTGTACTTGTGTCACAATGAGTGAAAGTCTGGAGTATCTGAGACTACACTAGACCACAGGGGAGCATTTGATCTCATTCCCCATCCTAACCTTCCTATTTACCAGAAAAGCAACTATTGAAGAGTTTATTTATTTATTTATTTATTTTTAAGGAACTAATATGGTTAAATAGTACTGAAATGACATCCTATCATATAATGAGACCAATCCTGTCTACTTTACTTTCATCCCTCCCCCACCCCAAACAATCTATAGTTCAAAAGACTATACCAGATTGACTCTGAAAGCTTAAGTTGAAGCAAACTCTATTGTGACCATTGGTGGATGTTCCAGGAAATCCAGGCTGATCATCCTCCTCTTGTGGACTGAGGAAGAGTGACTTTCTGTTGGATGTCCAACTTGGAGCAGGGTGCAATGGCCAAAGTCCTCCCAGTTTTTCTTTGCTTTGGACATGAACCAAACACTGCCCTCTAATTATATCTCTGAACTGTGAGTGGACCTTGGAGGTCACCAAGCCTCTTCTAGTCAACAGACAAAGAACTTGGTGCTTCTTCCACTTAGCAGATCATGCACAAATTATGTCTGGAGAGAGGCTTCCCTCTGGAAGCAAAAGCTCCTTGGTCTTTCTGGGTACAAGTTGAACAGCAGTAAAGTTCTCTGGCGATGCTTACTTTGTGGAATACACTAGTGCAAGTATTTCTGGTGCTAAATACTACAGAAACCAACATCAACAGAGAAGCTGTCAGCCAGTTTCTGGGGCTGCATGGCACTGAACTCAGGAGTAACTGAGTCAGCCATGCAGGAGAATACAGGGTAGATTAGAAAGACCATCAGAATTCCTGGCTTTGCTCTTAGCTACCCTGGTGATTAACTAAGTCAGCTAATCTTTTAGATGATCACATTTCTTGCCTGAGACACTTAAGAGGATGTAATTGATATTCTTAGAGTCCATTTCAGGTTAAAAAAAAAAAAAGCTGTTCAAGTCTTATCTACTTTTTAAAAAACCTTGTTTGTTAAAAGCAAGAGATAAAATGAAAGGTAAAGAGGGAAAGGTAGAAAAGTTACCAATGGCAGAAGAGAAATAGAGAAGGCAGTAAGAAGTTTAGCAACTGGTAGGTTTGAGGGCCATTGGAGCAGGGAGCCAGACAGACAAGACAGGGACAGATGTTTGCATTCTTCAAGGCAGACAGATTTTCACCAGGTGACCTTCCTCAATGAGTCATCTTTGCCATTCAACACTGATACACACACCCAAAATTGGCAGATTCTATTGCAAAATATGGAGACAGGCCCAACCACCTCTCATGTAGGCCATTACTGAAATCTGAACTCTGGGTCAAAAGCCAAGAGATTTTTAACCTTAAATGCTAATTGTGAAAGACTAAGATACTAGAAAGAGGGCACTTGAAGGTGTAGATTCTTGACCCAAGTCCTTCTCTATTCAGGAATGAATTTCCTTGTTCTTTTCCGAACCAAAAAGCAGCAGTATAATCTTGGAGATGAGGTGCTGTTCAGACAATGAGCAGGCAGGATACTTGGGTCATCTCAGTGCTTTGCTTAGTCTAGGCCTGGTAATATCTATAGATGTTTCCTGAATGAACCGATGTGCCAGCAATCCAGAGAGCTGCCCTCAAACACTCCTGAGATGTCTGTTGTCTGCTTTGGTTTGGTAAACAGCCAATGGTATTTGCCATAAAGCAAAGCAAAGCATCTTCAGGCAAGACCTTGAGTCCTATAGTCACTGATCATGAGTCCCCAGTCTCTGCTGCTATAATACCAAATAAATTGTCTCAGCCAATAGTTAAAAGGCTTTAGGGAAATTCCAGGTTTTGGTGTCATTATTCAAACAACAGTGTAGGCTTTAGAAAATGTTTTGGGATTGCTTGAACATCACTGGGAGGATCTTCCTAAGGGAAGTATAGGCATATGTACGTTGTGTGCTAATATGTATGTATTTAATGGAAATGGCTAGAGTCAGCAAGTGGGTTCTAATTTGGGGTTCTCTTTATACCTTACATTTCTTGGTGATGAGAAGTCCGGAGATGGACTGGTTCCAGAGACATTCAGAAAGGTTCTGATGGGAAATCTATCATCTTGTAAAAGCTTGATCATTTGGTGCTCCATGAATTAAATT